TAAGACAACATAAGGGGATCAAGGGGATTCGAATTGGAAAAGAAGAAGTTAAACTTTCGTTATTTGCAGATGATATGATAGTGTACATAAGCGACCCCCAAAACTCCACCAAAGAACTTTTACAGCTGATAAACAGCTTTGGTAATGTGGCAGGATACAAGATCAACTCCAAAAAATCAGTCGCCCTCTTATACACAAAGGATATGGAAGCAGAGAGGGAAATCAGAGAAGCTTCACCTTTCACGATAGCCACAAATAGCATAAAATATCTTGGGGTAACTCTAACCAAGGAAGTGAAAGATCTATTTGACAAGAACTTTAAGGCATTGAAGAAAGAAACTGAGGAGTATACCAGAAAATGGAAGGACCTCCCTTGCTCTTGGATTGGGAGGATCAACATAGTAAAAATGGCAATTCTACCAAAGGCAATTTATAGATTCAATACAATCCCCATCAAGGTCCCATCAAAATTCTTCACAGATCTGGAGAAGACAATAATCAACTTTATATGGAAAAACAAAAAACCCAGGATAGCCAAAACAATCCTATACAATAAAGGATTGTCTGGAGGCATTACCATCCCTGACTTCAAACTCTATTACAGAGCTACAGTGATGAAAACAGTGTGGTACTGGCATAAAAACAGAGAAGTCGACCAATGGAATCGTATAGAAGACCCGGATTTTAACCCACAAACCTATGAACACCTCATTTTTGACAAAGGAGCCAAAAGTATACAATGGAAGAAAGAAAGCATCTTCAACAAATGGTGCTGGCATAACTGGATGTCAACCTGTAGAAGAATGAAAATAGACCCATATCTATCACCATGCACAAAACTCAAGTCCAAATGGATTAAAGACCTTACTATCAGTCAGAACACATTGAACCTGATAGAAGAGAAAGTGGGAAGTATCCTACAGCAGATGGGCACAGGAGATCGCTTCCTATGTGTAACCCCAACAGCACAGACATTAAGGGCAACATTGAATAAATGGGACCTACTAAAACTGAGAAGCTTCTGTAAAGCAAAGGACACTGTCACCAAGACAAAAAGGCAACCTACTGACTGGGAGAAGATCTTCACCAACCCCACAACAGACAAAGGTCTGATCTCCAAAATATATAGAGAACTCAGGAAACTAGACTTTAAAATGCTAATTAACCCAATTAAAAAATGGGGCACTGAACTGAACAGAGAATTCTCAGCAGAGGAAGTTCAAATGGCCAAGAGACACTTAAGGTCATGCTCAACCTCCTTAGCGATCAGGGAAATGCAAATCAAAACAACTTTGAGATATCATCTTACACCTGTCAGAATGGCTAAAATCAAAAACACCAGTGATAGCCTTTGCTGGAGAGGCTGTGGAGGAACGAGTACCCTCATCCATTGCTGGTGGGAATGCAATCTTGTGCAACCACTGTGGAAGTCAGTGTTTCGGTTTCTCAGGAAATTCGGGATCAACTTACCCCTGGACCCAGCAATACCACTCCTGGGAATATACCCAAGAGATGCCCGATCATATGACAAGAGCATTTGTTCAACTATGTTCATAGCAGTATTATTTGTAATAGCCAGAACCTGGAAACAACCTAGATGCCCTTCAATGGAAGAATGGATGAAGAAAGTGTGGAATATCTACACATTAGAATACTACGCTGCGGTAAAAAACAATGACTTCGCGAATTTTGCATGCAAATGGATGGAAATAGAAAATACTATCCTGAGTGAGGTAACCCAGACCCAAAAAGATGAATATGGGATGTACTCACTCATAATTGGTTTCTAGCCATAAACAAGGGTCACGGAGTCTACAATTGGTGATCCCAAAGAAGCTAAGTAAGAAGGTGAACCAAAGGAAAAACATATAGTTGTCCTCTTGGCTATGGGAAGTAGACAAAATGGCTGGGGAGAAAATTGAGATCTTGGGGGGTGGGGTGGGATGGGGGTAAGGGGAGATGGGGAGAGAAAAGGGAGAAGGGGAGAATGGGGGGAACTTGGGGGAAAAGGAGGATTGGGATAAAGGAAGGTTGGATAGGGGAGCATGGAAGCACAATTCTTAGTTAAGGGAGCCACCTTAGGGTTGGCAAGAGACTTGAACCTAGAGTGGCTCCCAGATGCCCAAGCCAAGGTCCCCAGTTAGTTCCTTGGGCAGCTGAGGATAGGGAACCTGAAATGACCCTATCCTATAGCAATACTGACGAATATCTTGCATATCATCATAGAACCTTCATTTGGTGATGGATGGAGATAGAGACAGAGACCCACACTGGAGCACTGGACTGAGCTCCCAAGGTCCCAATGAGGAGCAGAAGGAGGGAGAACATGAGCAAAGAAGTCGGGACCACGAGGGGTGCACCCACCCACTGAGACAGTGGAGCTGATCTATTGGGAGCTCACCAAGGCCAGCTGGACTGTGACTGAAAAAGCATGGAATAAAACTGGACTCTCTGAGCATGGCGAACAATGAGGGCTGATGAGAAGCCAAGGACAATGGCACGGGGTTTTGAACCTACGTAATGTGCTGGCTTTGTGGGAGCCTAGCCAGTTTGGATGTTCACCTTCCTAGAAATGGACGGAGAGGGGAGGACCTAGGACTTACCACAGGGCAGGGAACCCTGACTGCTCTTTGGACTGGAGAGGGAGAGGGAGAGGAGTGGGGGGAGGGGGAGAAGGGTGGGAGGAGGGGGAGAAGGGTGGGAGGAGGGGGAGGGAAATGGGAGGCTGGGAGGAGGTGGAAACTTGTTTTTTTTTTTCTCCTTTTCTCAATAAAAAAATGGAAAAAAAAATAGTATTCCAGGTGGTGATGCTGGCAGGGTGGGTGAATAACCAAATGTCTTCAGCTTTCCATGTCGAAATAAATGCTTTCATTTTGTTCTGTTTTTGCATTACTTTTAAGTTCTTATGTGTTAAATGACATGTCACGATGTCTGAACTGCTTTATTCTGGCTACAATAATATAGTATTTTCACTGAACAGAAATAATGTTAATATCCAAAACTTTAAGATAAACTTGTTTAAGAAAATAGCCACTAGTTACATTTGTTTTGAAATGACACAAATCTGCTTGTGCACTAGGGGTTTCCTTTCACGGTTCCTCATCATTGCCTTCAGTCTCTGAAAAGAGTGAGTGCCTTTCAAAGTGGCTGGAAGAAGGATGGACAAGGCAGCACTTCCTGACACTCAGCCTGGCCAAGTAGTCTTCAATCTTGAAGGGAAATCAAAGGGAAGGGTTACAGGACTGGGGATTCTCCACCAGAGTGCAGTGCTCTGGACTTTCAGAGTGCAAAGCTGACAGCATACAGGAGACCCAGTGAGAACGTGCAGTTCAATACTCATCAAAGTTCTCTCAAAGAAAAATTTAAAGTCCTGCAAAGTCTACCTGATGCATGATGGGGTCAAGAACATCACTAACACAAAAGGAAACCTGCTCTTCATCAGGAAAGTGGTTCTAGTATCCACATAAAGCACAACTGTTCATCACTGCACCTGGACTGTTAGAATACCACCACAGGTAACTTCTAGGAAGAGGAAGAAACATAGTACTAGGTTTTTCTAGTGATCAAGAAGTATAGATATTCTGCTTTGACAAACATACACAATATACCAAGAGACTTCTGCTGGGAAGTCTAGAGCAGCTGGGAAGAAAAGGTTCCCTCAAGCCTGGTGGGGTCTCATGCATCTGCAGACAACAGAGTTCTTCCCGCTCGGCATGCATCTCTCCACCACTTTCTGCATCCTGAAGAAGGCTACACCGTGGTTCTAGCAATGACTTACAAGGCTCCCTTCCTCACGTACAAGGCATCTATCTACTGGCTGCAGGTACAGTGTGCCTGACTGCACAGTGCATGCTCTGACAACCCCAGCCCACTTCTTGGGCTACTTCATGTGCTCACACTTAGTAACCTGCCAGGGCGGGCTCTGGACTCTGGGCAAAGTGTAGAGCAAGAGAACCACACTTTCTTACCCTCTCTCTGTGCTTGTTCTAATGTTTCTTGACCCACTCCCTACTCCTCATGGTCTGTTTTCTGTTCATCAGTAACACTGGGGTTCTATGCCTACTTTTCTATTATTTCCAGAACCATAATTTAGCAGCTTTCCTAAACATACTGATTTTATACCTAATAAGATTCAATTTTGTAGGACATTTGAAAGACCTAATTTGTTAGCACTGTCTCCCCAGTTGCTTTATTTTATATAATTGATTGAAGTTACTCCAAGAGGACAGACTACATACACACTCAGAATGACTGCAGAAGAAGTAGAAATTTTAATAATAGATTTTTCCAAATCTTAATGGAGTAAGGTTAGAAATGACTAAGTTAACACACTTAAAGTTTTTTTAAAAATCACTTCTGTAGGTCTCTCAATTATTTATACTACAAATCTTTTTAAAGAATTCTACAGAATGACTGGAAATTTAATATACAAACCCAGTGACTCATTGCAACATGAGGAAAAACTGGACTATGAAGTACAGTAACAGTAATGAGTTTATTTTGGGAACTATATAAAGCCAGCTGAGTTTTCTCATGTTATTTCAAGTAAAAACCATTAAATGTAGTGGTATAAAAGCTAAAGGGCCAGAATCTTTAAGAATCTTCAGATCATAAGCAAATCCAGCAAATCCTGAAACAGTCTGAATGTTAGAGGTCTAGTCTGTGGCTATCAAGGATACAAAGGACCAACTCTTAGGTATTGACATGATAGGGTCAAAGGTAGCTTTGAAAGGTCTAAATTATGTGCAGAGGTATGCATTCCTTCAGCTAAGGACAGTCCTGTGTCCTTGCTCCAGAGAAGCACCCTTCAAGCCTGCAGTGTCCAGGTACCAGACCACACAGGCTTGCCCTGGGAAGAATACCCTCCCCAAACGAGATGCTCAGACCACACAGGTTTGCCCTGGGAAGAATACCCTCCCCAAACGAGATGCTCAGACCACACAGGTTTGCCCTGGGAAGAATACCCTCCCCAAACGAGATGCTCCAAGGAAGCAACTGACCTCGTCAGGACTGGAGGCCTGGTAGGTGCGGTTCTCATCACTGAAGTCTTGGTCTGCTTCAGCAAACTCAGTCTCTCCAGTGACTCCAGCTCGCGCCTCGTACACAGGAGTGACGTTGTGACAAAGGGCAATGGCTTTCACTGCTTCATGGATCCGGCTGCTGACACTTTTCTTAACTTTAGGAGTTGAAGACTGGCTTCTTCTCAGTGGAGCGGAACTTGGGTTGTGCCCACTTGCTTGGGAGTGTACCTTTAAAACAGGGTGTCATGTAATGAGGGCAGACAGAATGAAGTGGTCTACATGTGGACCAGAAATTACTGGCATATTTTCTGATGTGAAACAAGCTGTTTGAGATAAGAACAGCAATTTGATTCTTTCTCTTACACTGTACCCAGGGAAGAAATAACTTTTGTCTCAGCAATGCAAAATGCTTGGCTCTTTCAAGGTTGTCAAACACACCAGAGTATTTGCTATGATACTTAAAACCCGGCACTTTCCCACTCCTAAGATCCATCAACTGACACTTTCCTCCTTAAAACAGCAAGATAAAGATCAAGGCAGAATGGTAAGCTCACACATGCACATAAAACAGTGTCAAACCAAAGCAGCCAGAACTCTTAAGACTTCCTCGAATGTCATAAGTAAACCCACTGTTCACTGGTCTCTGAACTTTGGTGGTCTAGTTTGTAGCTAACAAGGATTAGACATAGTAATGGGGTGTGTCAGACTGCCCGTTGTTCATGTGAAACAACTGTCCACTTGAGCACTGTGTATCTGCCTAACTCCCATTAGGTCTGGATAGGAGTCTCAGCTGTTAGCACCCAGTGATGGATTTTTTTGTTACAGTACATATAAGTTAGGGTATACAATACATACTGTACAAATGAAAACTTTATCCTGGCTGACAACGTTCCCTTCCAAGAGCCAAAGGCCAACTAACAGAAAACCCAAGACCTAGCGTGAGATGGTTCTTTTGAGTTGTTAGCCAGGGTCACCCAAGAGACTTCCAAACATCACCATTACTATCTCAATTGGTAGCCCCTGCTCTAGAAGGTAAAGTCCCTATTGCTAAAGATGCTATGCATTTCAGACACAGGGCCTAGAAGCCCCTGGGCTGGAATATTTGAAAGTCCTCTCTTGGAGGGCTAGCTTTCATGGTATGGGAAGGCACCAATGGAGGAAGCAACCAATAATCTTATCCAACTTTGATGTCAATGAACCACAACAATGACCAACATAGCAAGATAACTCTCAGGGTACAATTAGGGGCATGTATACCTTCATGTAACCAACAACTCTCTATTTGGACTTAAGATCTTCTCAAAAGAGGGAAATCATGCCTGGTACTGAAAACTTAGCTAACTACCAGGGCTAGTGAAGTCATGGAATCTGCTGCAAGACACTATCCAATAGGAATGCCAGAAGCAAACATGACTACCGACACATCAGCTGAAGGACAACAATAACAGACATGACAGGGTGGATGAGTGAAAGATCAGGAGGCCTCAGCCCTACACAAAGAACTACAGGCAACTAAGGAATGCAGAGAGCAGGAGAAATGGCCTTCCCTAAGGGAAGAGCATACCAAGAAGTTATCTACTGAAAGATGGTTAACCTCTGAAAACATATAGACACAAATAGCATCATAGAGGTTGAGCAGACTGTATTTGTGTATTTAAGAACACACACACACACATACACACAAAACAAACAGAGATACATATACAAATATTTATGTAACAACAATTAAGGAAGAGGCTATGAATTTGAGAGCAAGGAGGGGTATGCAAAAGGGCTTGGAGGGGAGAAAAAAGAAATGATATAATTAAAACAAAGAACTGATTTCAAAAGTTGTATTTTAGAAAATTTTCAAGACTAAACTTTTCATTAAAATTATAAAAATAAAATATTGATTTAAAAATGCTTTCAAGCATAGAGCATATATAAATTATATCTACACAAATCACATCTGCACATGTGAGATGCTCATTGGCATCTGTGTAGATATATCATATAAAATAAACGGATATTTTACAAGTAAGATTTTTTTGCTATTTAGCAACATCTCAAGAACATAGTATATGTTGGGCTGGTGGTAATTACAGAACAAGGTTTTCTAAATTTGAATGCATCGTCGACAACTGAATTCTAAGGAGAGAAAGTCCAATTTAGTCTTTGAAATCACGTATGAAGCACATTACTATAAAACACCCGGCTGGATTTTTAGCTGATGTCACAGGTATGTGGTGCTCCAAGAACTAACACATTACCCAGTGAGCCACACCCCCGTCTGAGCAAAGTGTGAAACATGGGCATCATTATGTTCAAAGGAAAGTACGTAGCAGGCAGAGCAGCAGCCCAAGAAGAGAAGCTCCTAGCATCAATTATTTAAATTATCCTGCCTGATATTTTAGACAGGTTTCCTGGAACTGCCAAGCAGAGTTCCTGAATTAGGACAAATTTGCTTGTTTTCATTTTTGTTTGTTTTTATTTTTAAAAATTTTCTTTCAGGACGTGCTATAGGGGTGGAGGAGGATACAAAGGACTGGAAGGTGGGCAGAATTGGGGTACATGATGTAAAATTCCCAAAAATTCAATAAAGAAATTATTTTAAATAAAAAAAAGAAAGAGTAAAAATCATTGTGTCACAAACACTCCTTGAAGCCTGGGTTAAGTCCTCTATTTGAACTGAACATTCTCTACACAGAATGTCCTGATATGACTAGAGTCAGGAGCATGGATAACTGGAAGGGCCGGGTAAGGGAGGACCCCGTATGGCATACCTGTCTGCAGAGGACAGACAACATGGATAACTGGAAGGGCCGGGTAAGGGAGGACCCCGTATGGCATACCTGTCTGCAAGCCTCTTCAGAGGACAGACAGCTCCCATCCTTGTATTCAGCTCTTGGCAAGTAGTATTATCTTTTTAAAAATGTCATATGACAATTGCTTGCACAAAATAACAGGACAGAGAGAGAGAATGCCTGCTGATACAACAAATCCACATGCCGCTAGAGTTCAGTGACAGGCATGATGGTGCGTGATGCTGAGTTATCTACCTTAGTTACTGGAAAAGATGAAATCAGAATTTATTTTTTTAAAACCTGAGAAAGTTTTATTATGAAGAAAAACAAAGGTATTATTAGGAGACACAGTAATACCAGTATCCTATTAATTACCCCTTAAAATACTATTTACTAAAGAGTTTATTTTTAGAAATAATTCACTAGCCAGGTGGTGGTGGCACACACCTTTAATCCCAACACTTGGGAGGCAGAGACAGGCAGATCTCTGTGAGTTCAAAGCTAGCCTGGTCTAAAGAACGAGTTCCAGGACAGTTAGGGCTGTTACACAGAGACACTCTGTCTTGAAAACCCAACCCCTGTAAAAGAAAAATTCACTAAGAAAATAATATAATAAATGATTTGAGCTCATTATATTTCCCATAATTCTGCTGATATACAAATGCTAGTTATAATTTCTTGTTGAAATAAGAGCGGCGGGGCTGCGTCCCCAGCACCCGGCCGCCCACATGGCTAGCTTAGCTTATGCCCCAAAATAACAACACACAAACTGTATTCATTTAAACACTGCTTGGCCCATTTCTATCTAGCCTCTTCTAGGCTAACTCTCACACCTGGACTAGCCCATTTCTAATATTCTATGTAGCACAGTTAGGTGCGCTTACCAGGAAGATTCTAGCCTACGTCCATCCTGGGTAGGAGCTTCATCACGTGTGTCTGCCCAGGAGAGGAGAGGATGGCGTCTCTCTCCAGAGAGCAGAACTGTCAGTCTATCCGGGAGAGGGGAGCATGACGTCTCTGAGCTCACTTCCTCTTCCTCCCAGCAGTCTATTCTGTTTACTCCACCCACCTATGTTCTAAGCTATGAGCCCAAGCAGTTTGTTTATTACTTAACCAATGAAATCAAAAGATTGATATATGTGACACTCCCACATCAATTTCTTGTCTGAGATACTACAACTGATAGCAAGGTAAAAACAAGGACTAAAAGTAGCATAAAATAGGCTCAATATAGCTTACCAGTGTGGGTGCACTGAGAGAAGAAGGCATCAGAAGGTCATCCACATACCTGCAAGTAGGAATTGAGGATGTGGCTTTGGATTTCGTCCATAGTGTCTGTTCCATAGGAGACAGTGCCCAAATGGAGTCGCTTGAATACCATCTCGTTCTGAGTGAGAGTCCCTGTGATGGGGAGAGCAGCAGCAGTGAAGACGGGCAGTTAGGGAAGGCCCTGCTGCTCTGTGAGGAGCTCTGGCCAGGAGGGCTGCTGGGCGCATTGCTGACTGTCCCTGGGAGGTGTTAGAGATGCAAAGTCCCAGCAGAATGCTCATTCTGACAGGGAGCCTTAGGAGTTTTTCCCAAGCATGTCACATTAACAATGAAAGGTCCTCTAGAAAAATGAGAAGTTGAATCTCTGCCTTTGAAATTAAGATCTGTTAACTGGCATAACGGCAACTTCTGCTGTTCTGAATAAGGCATACATAGGAAGCTAAGTCACCAATGACTCAGTCACAGTGCTGAGCTGGAGAACAACATGACCTAGGCCCAAATTAGCATAGCTTAGTAGACTTAAAGACTGACCTTTGAAAGCAATCATTACTGGTAGAGAGGTAAATGCTACAGATGTTTAACCCTTAGCACATATTTATGTCCCTTACAATGAGAAGAAAGGGTTGTGAGATGGGAGACAATTTCCCTCACTGAGTTTCTAAGAAAGCCATTATTTAACACAGTCTCCTCAAAGCAGAGCAGACGCATTAAAATGACTATACCCAGGACTGCAAATAGTTAACCCATATATCTCATGTAATGCAAACACACTGCAGTTACATGCACATGATTAGTTCACCTGATTTCACAGAAGTAAAACAACAAAGTAATGCTTAAATGCCCTTTTAGTTGAGAAATGGGAGCTGCCATGCAAGGAACTTGAGTCTCGTCTGCACTGGGGCTTCTGCACTGGACTCAAAGCACATACAGCAAGGTTAGCAACTGACAGTGAGCGGTGTGACGGCCAACGCGGTGGCTTTTCATATGGTTACAAAACATCTCTATGCCTTTTATTTTCTTTGGCATACATGATATTGACAGGACCTATCAATGACTAGTCTCAATTTACATTCAGAGCAAAATGGGTTATTGACTTGGAACTTTCCAGAATAATACAGGATCTTCTTTACAAAAGAGCAGATCTGTACATTTTGACAAGCCCTCTTAGACACATTTATTATAACTTTACAAATTCCTCAAGAGCAACACTGGCTGTAGCCTTGTGCACTCACTGTGGGCACTATATATCTAGAGTAGATGGCTCCAGCTTCAGAGAACTGGAAATGAAATCATTATGTAAGATGTAGTTTATGGCAGTCTCAAAGTGGAATTAGCTTAAGATACATGTTACATTAAATATCACAACAGCAGCCCAGCCTCAGGTAAAAGGGGAGCTCTGTATATGGTATATAACAAAGATAGACAGGATTCCAGCACTACGAAGTCAAAGGTAATAAAATAAAACACTAACTGGTAAACAGAAAGTTCCCAAAGTATGTGTTCCCAAAGTTGATAATATTCTAGACGAGTTATATGCAAAAATGTTGTTTTAGATGACTTGATGTAAATAGCAATTTTTTATAGACTTTTCTCCTTGATGATAACTTAGAATGGGCCAAGGAGGTCAGTATTTTATTATGAACAACTCTATATGTAAAGTTACAATAATATTACAACAAACACTGATATAGCTTAGACTAATAATGAGAAGCTGTTTATAAATAATTTAAAATAATTTTATTGAGAATTTTATACATTTTCATCATAGCCATTCTCCCTTCTCCATCAACTCTGTGTCACCTTTCCTGCCCTCTCACCCCCACATCCCTTCACTCCTGTCTCCGCAGGCATCAAGGCCAAATTAAACTGGCCAAATATTCTTAGATATGTGGACTTCCATGGGAATGTGGTTGATATATCATAGAGAAGAATGACCTCTCCCAGAAGCCAACAACTGCCAAAACTCCAGTCAGGGTGGAACATCATGCCCGCCTCCCCAATTCTTTGTCTTCAGACAATCTCATGCAAGTACTATAGACTCGTAAGCAATAACAGTGCACCTCTGCTATGCTCTGCGCTGCCATGACTCCAGGCCGAGAAGCTTTCCTGGGGAAGCTTAGTGCGTTGTGGTCAGGCATCACCTACACCCAGCAAATCTCCTGTGTCCAGCTGTGCTGCTGCTCGTGTACAGTCTTGTCATTACCCAGGATAAGTCATCCTAACCTCTTCTCTCCCTCAGAGCCCAAAAGCTTAATGCAGGTGCACACTGTATTTCCTTCATAAATTGCTGTAAACCATAATTAACTCTTGCTTTTATTTCAGATCTTTGTTAAATGTGCTGTAGAGACACTGTGTTCATCTGCAAGAGCCCTGACTGACAAGCAAGATCCTCACCACTGCCTCCTTACAGTGACATGCCACCAAAGGTGGCACAGGGATCTCACAGGCATCCGGGTGGCACACTGGATGTATAAAGTACCAGACATGTAAGAGGTGCTACCAACTGCACCCTGATATCACCCTACTCCCAGTTCTCCCTCCTTTGCTCTCTTTGTGAACCTCTTGAAGGTATTCTTAAATTCATGTCTAATATTTTCTAACACACTTCCCACCTGTGCTATATTTATAAAACAGAAATCTCTTGATTAAAAGTAACCAGTAATTTGATATGGTTCACCCTTCTAAATATAAACTGCTCAGGTTAGACAATAGAATTCTTCATTATGCCATCTAGAGCTACCTTTTTTTTTTTTTACACCGTTTGACACACCTGGTTGTTACCTTCCACAGCCCCCAACTCCCACATCTCCATAAACTTCAAACAACTGGGGAATTGCCTAGGTGGCAAACATAGGGTTGGTGCAGTAAACAACTAGAGTTCACACGCCTGTGCTGTTTGCTGTCAGCTACTTCACACCCAGTCTTTAAAAGTGTGTAGGGTGATTCATGACATCTCAGAAACATAAAGTATGGCAGTGTGGGTTCCTTTGCTCAAAATCCCACAGCTAGACACAAGCATCGGAAAAAGCCTTACTTCCAGAGGCCTCAAATGCAAGGAAGGGAAGGCAAGGCAGGGAACACTCTGAGAGGGTGAGTGCTCCAAGAGATCAGCAGCGAGACATGGAGAGGAGTGCCCTCAGGGACTGCATGAAAGCAGACTTAGAACTGACGCTCCTGGAAGGCAGACCCAAGGGACAGGGCTCAAGGAGGCCAAGAGAGAAAGGTCTAGAAACATAAACCAGGCTAGTCTCCAACTCTTGACTCTGTCTTAGCCTTTGGAATGCTGGCATTATAGTTGTGTGCCACTGTTCCCAGCTAGGGACCTGGCCCCCTAAGTGCTGGGGATCAAAGCTCTGGCTCTGGACAGGCTATGAAGCTCTGCATCACATGATTGTCCTCCCAGCTTGACTCTGTATTATCTCAATGTCACCCCCAAAGTCCAGCTCATAACTTGGAATGAAAATTGCTGCTGATAAAAAGAATAAAGAAAAAAGTTTAATTAAAACTGGAAACTACCAAGATGTGATGTGGCCCAAACCTTTAAACCTAGCGCCTAAGCTGCAGAGGCAGGTGGATCTCTTTGAGTGCCAGGGCAGTCTGGTTTACAAGGTTCCAAGTCAGCCAGGGATGTGTAGTGAGACCCCATTTCAAAAAAAAACAAACAATAATAAAACTGAAAACAAACAAAAACCTGATAAAACAAAAGAAAAACCTAGGGACTAAAGATGCATGGGAGAAGGCATACATGACACTACGTATTTGCATCATGTATCATTCTATCATTCATTTGATGGGGTATTTTTTTTTCCCAGGTTACTGGCAAAGAAAAATCTAGCATTTCAAACACAAAAGGTCCACAGTGGTATCAGATGCTTTCCCAACACAAAGACATATCATTATAATCAATCCATTCAAACTATTTCTAGACAGTGAATTTAGGGTTTGAATGTGCCTATTTAATCATCCTTTTTTAGCCCGTGATATAGTATTTCCACTCTAAGTTTCCCAAGTTCAACAATGCTAGCTACTGTATCTTGCATCTTAGCATCTTTGGGGAAATCTCAAGAGTAACATCACACATGCACAAAGACGATGAGAAGCAGGGGGAACCACAGAGAACACTAAAATATTAAATATATTGTTGCACAGTAATTTAAGAGACATGATGTAAAAGGTAACAGAAACCCAGGTTACAACTATTATCTCCTCCTCTTAGGATAATAATTATGAAGATAACTATAATATTTCCTCCTCCCAGAAAAGGTATTATAAAGCTCTGTATTTAGATTTCTTTCCTTCTGCTATGCAGCCCAGCTAGTCTCACTTGTAATTATCCTGCCGGAGCCTCCTGAGTAGGCATATTTATACTATGAAATATTTTAATTTTTGATGCTATTCTAAATGAAATTGCCTTCTAATTCAACCTTGGGATAGTTTATTGCTAGTATATAAAAGTACAATTCATTGTTCAGAGTGCTTTTGTTGTCGATACTTTGGCTATTAGGTTTTCAGAGATCCACGATGATTTCTATATACAAGACTTCACCATACATAAGCAGACAGTTTTACTCTCCTTTATAATATGGACGCTACTTCTTTTTCATGTCTACTTTGCTCTGGCTAAATGTCTACTCATTCATAGCAGAATTATCTCCAATAAGCAAAAAGGGAGAAACAACCCCAATGCCCATTCATTCATTCATTCATTCATAGGTAGATAAATAGAATGAAACACACACACACATACACACTAGAATAGTCTTTATCAGAAGAAATAATGGAGTACTCACTATATTCTACACTAGAGATTAATCTTTAAAATATTCTACTAAATGAAGCCCAACACAAAGGGCCCAGATGTTTTACATCATCCATATGTGCCCACCAGGCAAATCCACAGGGAAAGAAAGTCGGGCCAGGGTTTCTTCGGACTATAAGCAGAGGAAGATACTGAGTGAGGAGTGATTCAGTGCACACAGGGTTGCTCTGGGAGAAGTTTCTAAGCCTGGACTGTGGTAAGCACTATATCATAGCTATACCAGTGCTGTGGAAGAGAGAAAGATAGTCTGAGTTTTTCATTTGACTCAAACTACAAAAAAAAAAATGTCTAGGCTATAATAAGCAGTTTGAGA